TGATCTACCCAAACTATTATTATCCATTTTTCTAAAGATTTATTTATGGTGAGATCACCAGGTTCTTCATGAAAGGTGACAGGATCTACTACTAGTTCATGCTCTGTCTCATTTAAATAAAAGAGGGTTGGGTGTGAGATCTAAGACTGTGGTGCCCTGAGATGAGTTGAGTACATTTCAAGGATAGAATTGTTGCGAAGCAAGGGACAATTTGCTTGTGGTGATGCAAAATTCTATTTCTCATAAATCTTGGAGGAGTTGGATATTTAACTTCTTGCCCAGTGATGGGTTTAGATGTGCTCTAAACTAAATTTAAAAACTGACGCCTGAAAGAAATTTAGTAGGCTTTAATAAGGGAAAAATCAAATCCCATGTAAGATGATTATTTTGTGGGGCTGTGATCTGCTAATGAGATAACAAAAATTTGTGTTTCTGCTATATACCAACGAACCAGACTTGTAACTTCAAGCAGTTCTGATAATTACTGTAGTACACATTCATTTATATTTTTAATGGTAGTCAGAGCTTAGAGAACAATACAACCAAATAAAATTTGTAAGGCAGCCTTTATCTCCATTTATACTGTATATATTTTAATTTAAAAGAACAAAGGACCCTTTACTCCTTGCCCACTGGAGCAGGACCCTTGGAAGTCAACAAATGGCATACTTTGCCCCAGAATTAATTCTGTGACTCTTTGAAGGCAGTGCCTGGGCCTGATGTTTAGAGGATCACAAGCAGGAGCTGTGCTAGCCAAAGGGAGAGCATTTCCTTTCTCCACACTCCTTTCTATTAATAAAGTTTGTGTTGTCTATTTGTGGCTTGTTAATGATAGGGGTGTTAACGGCCACAGTTAATCTTCCTCCTCAACTCTTTCCTAATCCAGTCTCTTAAATAGACATTTAAAACTCTTTTAACTCCTTGAATTGGGTGCTTATAGGCTTTTTGATTCAGGTGGAGTGATAGTTATCAGCCTATTTAACAAAACCTGAGACAGCCAGGACAGCTGTAATGTGCATCTCTATGCTGTGTTTTTGTTAAAATGCCACATGGCTAATACTTTGTAAATCATAAATCTACTGGAAGAAAACATATTTATAGAGGGTGTTTTAGTTTTATGCTGTGTTACAAACCTAAAACCACTGGTTCTGCTAAATCCGTAAAAAGCAAAGAACATAGACTAGATTAAAATAGTTGTGTAAATTTGGTTTCTTTTCATCTGTTTTATTTGTTAAAATAAGGCTATATAGAGGATGCCTTGAAGATAATGCTGTACCTGACAATTTAATCTTCACCTAAACCACTAGCTTTCTCAAGAGCCTTAGGGGAGAATGGGAATTTCTCTAGCCTGGGCCTCCTGAAGTCACCCATCAGTGGGCATGTTTAATTAATACATGTGATAGGGAGCTTTGCGTATGTCTTCTCCCTTCCCCACTCTTTAGAATGGCTTACTTCCTGGAGGATTTTACCTTCCTAGTGGGCTTATTGAAACTCTAGAATGAAGAGAGAGCTCATTAATTGTGCATTTCACATGTGGTCTAACTACCACCTCCAAGCAGTTCAGTGGGTAGTTTGCTGAGGCAACTTAACCAGTTAGTTTTCATCATTTATTAGACAATACAAAGAAAACTTAGAGAATAATTTAGAATTAGTTTATATATATGCTTTTGCCCATAAGTAGTGATGAAAATAAAATGTACTACACTAAGATCTAAGAAAAGCCACCAAGACAGCTGGCAGTGAAAAGTAGTGACCGGAGAGACTCGGGCAGAGCCTCAACTGGATGGAGCAGGTAGCAGAGACTCGCTCCATATGGGTGATTCTTTGGTCTCAGGGTTGATTGGTGAATGCAAATAGTTAAATTAACCATTATATCTTCTGGATGGCCCCAGCTCTCAAATTTCTGGGGACTACAGTTTTTACATGCTTTTCATTTTACCCTTACAGTGTGTGGGATTTTTGTCTCTCTGCTTCACCTCCTCGCCTCTTCCTGCCCTTCCCCGCCCCCCCCTCCCCACCGAGATTCATCTGTTAAAGAAGGCTCCTGTCATCAGCTTGGAATGTGGGTTCTGACTGTGCCTGACCGCAATCTCTTTGATGTTTTGCCAAGGCTGACTTTTCACCAGATCCCTGGTTTAGGTGTTTTTTTCCCCAGCTCTCAGAGGCCTGTAAGGTGAATTTGCTTTGTATTGTTGATATGAAGGGTTGGTGGGGTTTGCTCTTTTCTTGCTTCCTGATGGGCAATTAAATTGCCAGAATCTGTCTGCAGTTGTTGATAACTTTACCTGAGAGTTCCTGTGTAAACCCAAGAAAGGACTGAGAGCTGTTATGCCTGAAAGACTTGAAAACTTGAGAAGCTGCTCACTCCTTCCTATGGAGATTTCCACAAGGATAAGGTTGCTTTCAGAGGCTCATCCTCTCTTCCTCCGTCATGGTATTGGGATTCTACCTTAATCACTCCATCATCCTGCCTGCCATGTCTCATTTCTCATACTGGAGTGTTCTCTCCCTCCTCCCAAGTTCAGCGTGAACCACCAGTCTTGATGCTTTATCTGATGCAGGCTCTCTCTAGCCCTTAAATTGTCCATCTGGCTTTGTGTTTCATTTGACCCTAATACACTGGGTCGCACTGTCTAAAAGAGAATTATGTCCCCTCCGATGTCTGAGTGCATTTCTCATTTCTTACTGCTGCTCCTGATCAGATCTGTAACTTCAAGGTTAAGATAAGACACATTCCATCAGAACTATGTCGTCATCCTTGCCAGTTTCTGATCTGTGACTGTCCAGGAGATTTACAAGACAGTTGCATGCCATTCTTTACAGAATATTATGGTTGGACTCTGACTCCTGGCATCAGGCCCAGTTTGATTTGTCAGCTGTTACAAAACCCATTTTCTAAAGAGAAAGGGACCTCTCCGCCATATGCCCTTTAGGCAGTTCTTAAGAGTGGGAAAGAGGGAATTGATCTGATTTTATTTCCTAGTGTGTTAGGAAGAGGAGTAGACACCAGAATATTTTTGCCCCTTTCCTCACTGAATTCTCTTGTTCCCCGCCAAAAGGTTTTACTAAAATGTTAGTGTTGCTGTCATTCTTTCTTGTCCTTTATCCCTTCACAGAAATACTATTAGTCCTTGGATTCGCCATTTCCAATGCTTTTTTGAGTTTTAAGGAGTAAGATTAAGTATTTTACTCTTGAGAGAGAATATACCTACCTATTCTTTGAAGGTTTATTAGTTTATTGGCATGTCATTAACAAAGACTGTTCCTCCTTCTTTGCTGTCTACTGACGTGTTGAGTGGAAGAGTTACTGCATGGGGTATGGTTTAATGGCTTAGGAATTTGGAAGGTCACAAACTTCCTACTGCTGTTGTATTCGGCCCTATAATATTTTTACAAAAGTTTCTCTTTGGGGGACTTAACAGCTCTTCGGTTTCAATATAAACTTACTCTTTCCGTAGGAGGTGGGCAGTGAGGATTTATTTGGCCCATTTTAGTGATTCCAGGGTTAGATAAAAAATTTATTTACTCAAGATCACACATGGCAAGTTAATCACACATCAGAACTCTGATCTAATTCCTTTGGCATTGTTTTTATATCCCTTAGCTACAACAAGTTAAAAGTTTGGAAGAGTAGGAAAAGGCAGTTTTTAGTCAGAGATTTCCTGATGGGTCCAATTGAAGTTGAGAAAATCCTTTAGTTGAAAACTGAGTTGAAATCCTGTAGTTGACAGCATCTTACTATTTTGATGGACAGTGACTGTGAACGGGGATGTTGGGGGGGACTTGGTGAAGGGAGGAGCCTAGTAAACATAATGTCCTTCATGTAATTGTAGGTTAATGATACCAAAATAAATAAATCCTGTAGTTGAAAACTGTCTACTTTGCTCTCATACCCTCTAATTTCTTCTGTTTGATAACTAATAAGCACCATTCTCTCCTTTTTCCTCACTTGGGCTCTTTGCCCAAGTGTCCCTTTTTCTTACTGTGGCAGCAGCTTCTCTCTCTAATGACCTATATCTGTAAGCAGAGCAGGGTGCTGGAGCTTTAAAATGTCCATTAGGGCTAGTAAAAAATTTTATGGGACTGCAAGTCTCTGTCTCTATCTCAGACCTATTTTTCTCCAGTATTGGGATTTCTGGTATGTGAGGCTTTAAATTATTATGTTACATATTATTGTTTAAGGTGAGTAGTAATTATTTAAGAATCTGTTTCATAGCATTTCAAGAGCAATAATGAGAAGTGGTTTTAACAGTACTCCTCTCCCTTTTTTTAAATTACTGAAAGATTACATTTTTTTTCTACCTGTAATTTCAGTTAAAAGGCTCCTTGGTAGTGCTTCAAGTCTCTGGATTCTGTTTTTGTATCTAGTAATTCCCCAAAGAAGGAAAGTTGTTTAGTATCTTTAAAGTACTTCCCTCCCACCCCACCATTCTTGTTATTTCTCTCACCACCCCCCAAGAAATTTTAATTAACTGTTCAGTGACAGATGGTAGAAAAGGCCTTGTCTATAGTGCTTGTGGTGGATTGGATTAGGGGATTGGTGGTTTGTACTGACCCTGTTGTATTAGGATCTTTCCCTTCCCCCTTCCAGTTGAGCTATAATCCTGTTAGATGTTCTCAAAATGCTATTGATTAATTCCCAGTGCTCTTAGAGAAATAAGCACAAGTTTTAGATTTAAAACCCAAGAACCAGTTCCCTTGAGCTCAGAATGCGTTAGTCTTGAGGACAAGGGAGGTACATTCCAACTTCTCCACCCAGCCTTCACTGAAAAGGAAAGTTAAGCCTTTTAACTTTTCCGTTTGCCTCTCCCCCTCCTTGTCTAGTACTGCTGCCAGTTGCCATAGCAACGGACTGGGACAGCTGCGCAGTGGCTCCCAGGCAGCTGGGTGGGGGCGGGGGAGCTGCCAGCCCGCCAAGCCCCAGACCTGGGAGGGGAGGCCCCTCCTTTTAGCCCAGAGGGAAAGAAAGAACTGGGGCGATCCGGTAGGTAAAGGAGGGGACCCCCGATTCATCTACCTTTGGGGCTCCTCTTCTGCATGAAGGTATAAAGGGAGGTTTTCCCTCTTTCCTCCCTCAAACTGAACACATATGTAAATCCTTGTTTTTTCCTCGTGAGGCAGAGGAGGCCATAGCCACAATGCTTAACTGCATGCATCTGACCTGGGGCTGGTTTTAACCCCAGTGCTCTGACCTAAACTGCTCAGCGCCCGGAAATTCCAAGGTGAGTGGGGGTGGGGGTGGGGTACTCTCCCGGGAATATGACATTTCCTGTCTCTGGTGAGGTCGGAGGCTGTTTTTATTTTAAATAACTCAAATCAGATTTTTTTTCCTTGAAGCTTAGGACTCTGCTAAATTCATGGAAACATTCTGAAACCGCTTACCTGCACTCTCCCCCCAACCCCTCTTCCAAATAAAGTATTTCAATGAAAACTTAGTAATGGGTACCGTTTTTGGGTGAGGACCTATTGGTGGTAGGTTCTGGAGATAATGGTTTTCACCTATGTATTCTTGGAATAATTCTTCAAATTTTGCTAATTGAAGTACATTGATAAATGCAACTTTTTGTGATACTTGAACAAAATTTGGAGATAGTAATGGCCTTCCCTGTTCCTGGGAGTGGTCCTCTGGTCAAGATGGAAATATTTTTAAAGTGAGCTGAAAATCTTGAAATACAACAGCAAAAATAAAAATGGAGTTCAGCTAGGAAAATAGTTCCTGCTATTCTATAATCCAAACGGTGGGCACCGTTTAACATGGTTCAGGAATAATTCTTAAAAAATGATTATGGTAGCAATGTAGGAATTTAAAGCTAGATTCTCTGTCGAGTACCCCCTGGTTGTGCATATTTCTGAGCTTAACTCGATTTCCATTTGTGTTGCCTTGCTTCAGCTTTCCTTGGGCCTATGAATGGTTGCTCTGTGTTTTGAGGCTTCGTGTTGATGCAAGTCTGGGTCCAAACTCCTTTTTCCTCCTCCTCTTCCTTTGGCCCAAAGTCAGCTCCAGTTAAGAGGAGCAGTACCTCCTTAACTATTTGAATTACTTGAGCCTTGAGAATTACTGGACAATCCAATGACTAATTTTGATTTTAAGGACTGAAAGAATTCTCCCTGCCTGCATCCCCAACTGAAAAGGACACTTAGTGAGTCTGGGACACCAGCCTTGCTTTCGTGAGCTGATGGATGCTCCAAAGGGACAAACTCAGTTTGTTCGAGGGAGGTATACCGAGTCCCTGAGAGCATGGTGAAAGGTGCTTGAGCAGGCCTTCTTTGTGCAGCTGAGAGACTGGGGAAGATCTCAGAGCAGAGGAAAGTTACATTTTGGTAGCTCTTCCTTCTTCGCTTTTATAAAGAACCTTGTTTGTTTTGGAGGGAAAGGTTTTAATTCAGTCATGGTTCTTTTAACTGAAGGTTTTCACATTTCTTTTTTGAATTGCTGGCTTGTAAAGTTACAGAAGTAGCCAGGAGTAAGGTACCATACTAGTGTTTTGGAATCTGAAGGTAGAGAAATTAGACAATTATGCCGTCTAATAATTTTGGCTTTGTTAGCTGAGGAGAAACTTGTAGTCAGGGAAGTAGGGATTGACCCTTTTTTAAAATTCTTAGGACTCATCTCTAGAATGCTTCAAGATCCAAGGACAGATAGATGCTTTGTATTAATACACTGCAACCCATCAAGAAGAGACAGAAAGTTTTAACTCCTCTCATGGATTCTGTCCATTTTGTCCTTCCCATTTGCAGGAACCTGGTGGCCTTAAGTCCTTCAGGTGGAACAGTGTGCGACATGGGAAAGAAAACCAAGCGGACAGCTGACAGTTCTTCTTCAGAGGATGAGGAGGAGTACGTGGTGGAGAAGGTGCTAGACAGGCGTGTGGTTAAGGGGCAAGTGGAATATCTACTGAAGTGGAAAGGCTTTTCTGAGTAAGTGCCTTCTCAGGCTTTAGGAATCTGCAGAGATAGACACCTTTGGTTTACTTCCCCATGAACCACTGCCATCTTCGTCTTTTTTTTTCCCACCTACACGCCTTTCCTTAGAGTCAGAAAAACAACAATGAACTAAACAAAGTCACCCCCTTAGAGCTGGTGTTCTAATGATACTGCTTTTGAGAGGCAGTATAATGAATTGGTTAGGAGCACAGACTTGGGAATCAGATTGCCTGGGACCAGATTCTTAGTCTACCACTTTTGATAAGAGCTGAGTGACCTTAGTTAAGTTCGTTAATCTTTTTTTCCTCCTGAATAAAATAGGGGTAAGAAGTGGTACTTGCCATAGAAGAGGTTGGATAGATATACACAGCCTGACTCATAAGCTCAGTGTAACTGTTGTTATTACTACTGTTACTATTAAAAAAATGTTATTGCTAACTATCCTTTTGGATATAACTACGCTACAATATATACATTTATGCAACAGTAGAAGTCGTCATCAGTCTCATAGCCTTCCAGAATGATCCTTGGATCTCAGAAGTGTCCTAGGAAAAGCACTTATCTTAATGAGAGACTTAAATCTGAGGCCACAACCTGCCCATATTCATTTTTAAACATTTTATATATACAGCTGAGGTAAAAAATTGAGTGAACACCCAGATACACACTGCAATTAGCATTTTAACATACTTTTTGCAATTAACATTTTAATATAAACTATCCATCTATTCCTTTATCCATCAGTTTATCCTTTCTTTTCTTTTTTTTTAAAGATGTTAAAGACCCTCCTTTTTAAGTCAATGAGTTTTAAGAACAATACTGAAGAATTGACTAGTATGTCTATTAGGCAGTAACTGGCTTTGTTCTTAAGTGCTAAAGTAGATTCTTTCCTTTGGAATAAACAGAAGTAGATACTTATTGAAGCATATTGAAGCATATAATAGGTAGCTTGAAAGGTGAACTACATGAAACTAATCATTAGGCATTTTGCCTCAGTTTCTGATTGATTCTCTCCTTAGGATGCATGACAGCAAAGAATTTCTCAGAATCCCAGTGAACTGATAGAAAGTGGTTTAGGCTCCTTAGAGTGGGGCTGTCCAATAGAAATACAATGCAAGCCACATAGGTAATTTAAAATGTTATGGTGGTCATATTAAGTAAAAGTGAAATTAATTTTAATAATGTTTTATTTAGCACAATATATCAAAATGCTATTTCAGCATTAATATAAACATCTGAGATTTTACATTATATTTTCATGCTAATAAGTCTGCAAAAGCTGGTGTATATTTTATATTTTACAGTGCATCTCAATTCAGACTAGTCACATTTCAGGTGGTTAAGTAGCCAACTGTGGCTAGTACCATATTGAACATCAAAGCTTTTAAAGTGTAGAGCTTTAGATTCCATGTTTTGATAGTACCTTTGGACAAAGGTGTAACTCAGGAGCCTTGGGAACATACTTAAGGTTACTTACACAAATCAGGGTTTCTTATCCAGGGCACTATTGGCATTTTAGGTGCGATAGTTGTTACAGTATAGCATGCTTAGCATCTCTAGCACACAGCAGGCACTAAATGTGGGTAGCACAGCAATGAGGATGTATTCTGTATATTTCTAAAGAGGAGTGGTGATACCACAACATCCTCTAGGTACAAGATCTATGAGTTTGAGAGATCTAGAGCACTATGAAATAGAAATTGAAATAACACCTAAAGATTTTAAGGGTGTTTATTGGGCCCATTGAATCACTGAAAATTCTTGGATATTTTGAAGGTACTTGAAACTATCTGTGTCTGTAGTTGAGCTACTGGTACCTTACATAGATAAAGAAGGGAAAGACAAGGTTTGGTTAAGCATTTGTCTTTGTTGGAAATGCCCAGGATTTCACTGAAGGCTAGAACCAAGTTTGTTCAACCTAAGTATCTGTTGTTTGCTTGGCAGTGGTTATATTCTGTTTCATGTCTTCATTCTATCTCATGTGTTCTCTTTAATTCTCATAACAGCCTTTAGAGGTATTTTCAGTTTACAGCTCTGGAAATTAGTGAAGTTATTTGCTGAAATAACATAACTGGTAAGTGTGGGAACAAGGATTCAATATCAGATTTCTTTGACCCTAAAGCCTAGACTATTTAAATTATGCCATATTGTCTTTGGGTGAAAATTGGTTGATGTAGAAACAGGAATTCCAATATGCTGGGACAAGGGATAATCCCATTGTAGGGCTGGCTTTCCTTGTTGTCAACAGAGACATTCCCCTAACCCATCGTCTACTTGCTTGTGTTACAGTGTCAGTATGCCTCTTGATCTTGGTTCCTTAATTTCTTCTGGAATAGTAAACTATGTATGTGGATTTGGGGGAAGTTACTGTATGAGGGTATTTTTTTTGTTTTTTTCTGAAGAGCTATGAAGGAGAGGCTTTTCCAGTTTTGGTTTAAATGGTTTAGAAATAGATTTTTGTCTCATTCTTAAACTCCTTTTGCAGAAAGTTAAGTCTCGAGTAAATATCTCATGTTTTTCTACCATTCTGCTTCTTATTTGAGTCAAGTTATTATGGCATGTGTTCAAACTATTCCTATGTAAAGATACCTTACGTTTAAAAAACAAAAACATCTAAAATGGATAGTCCATAGATTTAAAAAAAATTTACCTATCAGTGAAGGGATTGTAGAAAACTGCTTCTGTGGTATATTTACAGATGTATCATAATAAAAATTAGGCCATACTATATAACCAGAAAAACCTCTGCCACTGGCTAAGAGTGAAGAAGATGCCTGGTAACATGTAGGTACATTTCTTGCTTTGATTCTGTAAACTTACAAAGTAAGTTTGGTTTGTGTTTTCTAAACATAACTTATGGTTTAGTTTTCTAAAACTTATGCCAGGAATACAGAGAACAACTGAATACTAGAATATTTGTTTTCCTCATAATAGGACTCCCTTGATCCAAGCCTAGATCAATAATTAGACCCAGTTATTTAATTTGAGTGTTTTTTTTTTTTGCTTATTAATGTAAAATATATTTTGACTACCTAATGACAGTAGACTTGAATCCAGAGCATTGACTTAATGCACTCCAAATCCTACATCTGTGTCTTTGTCTTACGGTTTGCCTATATTCTAATGATTTAAGCCCTTACTGCCTTTTTTCTAAGTAACTATTTCCACGTAATGTAGTGTATCTACTATGAAAAGTATCTACTATGAAATGAGAAGATTTCTCAAAAAAAAATGAAAAATAGAAATACCAGATGATCCAGTAATTTTAGTACTGGGTGTTTACCCGAAGAAAACAAAATCACTAATTTGAAAAGATATATGCACCCCTATGTTTATTTCAGCAATATTTGCAATAGTCAAGATACGGAAGCAACCTAAGTGTCCGTCAGTAGATGAATGGATAAAGAAGATGTGGTATGTATATACAGTGGAATATTTTTCAACCATAAAAAATGAAATCTTGCCATTTGTGACAACATGGATGGACCTAGAGGATATTATGCTAAGTGAACTAAGAGACAAATACCTTGTGATTTCACTTATATGTGGAATCTAAAAAACACAACAAAATAGAAATAACACTTATAAACACAGACAGTGGACTGCTGGTTACCATAGGGAGGGTGGGGCGATGAGTGAAATAGGTAAAAGGGATTAAAAATAACATAGGGAATACAGCCAATAATGCTGTAATATCTTTGTATGGTGACAGATGGTAACTACACTTACTGTGATGAGCATTTTAGTAGTATGTCATTGTTGAATCACTATGTTGTACATCTGAAATCAATATAATGTATATCAACTATGTCAATAAAAAATTGAAAGCTTTCCAATCTTCCAATAATTTATTGACTTTTCAAAATATAGGTAACATTTAAGAGTGTAAACTAGTGGTTACATGATTTATTAGATTGTTCTTCAGGATTGCCTTGATGATTATATTTATGAAATCATTTTGCCACTTAATAAAGCAGAATTCATATTTGAATTTTTAACAGCTTTATTAAGATATAGTTTATATAATATAAAATTCATTCATTAGAAATGTACAGTGATTTTTAGTAAATTTAGAATTGTGCAACTATCACCACATTCCAGTGTTAGACATTTCCATAACCTCCCAAAATTTAGCCCATTCGTAGTTAATCCTAAGCCCCAAACCCATGGAACCATTGATTTGTTTTCTGTCTCTAAATTTGTCTTTCCTAGATATTTCATATCAATGGAATTAGACAATATGTATAGTCTGATTTCTTTCACTTAGCATAATGTTTTTGGGGTTCTTCAGTGTTGTAGCATGTATTAATTAGTATTGTGTTTCTTCTTGTGTTTGAATAGTGTTCTACTGTATGGATATACCACATTTTGTTTATCCATTCAGCAGTTGGTGGACTCTTTGGCTATTAAAATGCTGCTATAAATAATGTGCAAGTTTTTTTGTGAATGTATTTTAATTTCAGTTGATTCCTAGATCAAATTTGTTATCTCCTTTAAGTGTAGGATTTCGTTCTTTTCTGCTACTTCTTTAAAATAAAGCATTGGATTGTATTTTCCTCATTCTTTCCCTTTTTTCTTCATTATTTGTGCCCAGGGAGCACAATACTTGGGAACCTGAGAAAAATTTGGATTGCCCTGAGCTAATTTCTGAGTTTATGAAAAAATATAAGAAGATGAAGGAGGGTGAAAATAACAAACCAAGAGAGAAGTCAGAAAGTAACAAGAGGAAATCCAATTTCTCCAACAGTGCTGATGATATCAAATCCAAAAAAAAGAGAGAGGTAAGCTTACTTTCCCATTTTTCCACAAACTTTTCTTTTGCTGTCTCCTCCCTCCTCCCCCAAAATAACAAAAACAAATCTTACTGTGGTTATCTCTGGTCTAAGGATGGCCTGCAAGATAAAATTGTTGAACAAAAGAGCTTCCAGTGAGGTATGTTGACTAACTACAGTGCCCCCTCCTGGCTGAGTGAGAAATGAAAATCTACTAATTGTATTAAGATGGCAACATTAAATCTCTGTAAAATACTCAACACTCTCTCTGCCTTCATAAATAGGCACCTAAGTTATCTTAGAGAGGGGGAGGGTCTTTGATGAATTATTTAAGGATAGAAAAAGACTTTAAAACGTTTACTTTACTTCCTTTTTCTTTTGTTCCTATGATAGCACTTATTTTCAATTTTTTTTTTATTTGAGGTGAAATTCACGGACATACAATTAACCCTAACCATTTAAAAAGTGTACAGTTCAGTGACATGTATAGTCTCTTGATATTATTTGTACATACTTAAAAATAATAAGTTAATTTTCATCTTCCTTTTGAATCTATTCGCTGTTGAGAGTGTGTTTATGAAACTTTGGGTTGATTCAGTTGGGGAAGTTCTTCTAATCTTTAGTTCTCAAATATCTAACGTAAGCTCTGTTCTTGCCTTTTTTTCCAATATATCTTTTCTGTCTGTGCGCATGTGTGTGCACACACACAAAACACACACTCCTTCAGCCTCTACTCCATTTACTTCAAGGTTATGAAGGCTTTTGTGGTGAAGAATGTGCTGTATCTTTAAAATTTAATAAAATAAAAGCATAAGTCCACTTCTGAATCTTCTAGCATCACTGCTGTAAGCATCCCTATTTATCTTTATTCTACTTGTATACCCATCTTTCTGAAGCATTCATTTGTAGCCCTGGCTCCACATTATAATCTGAGGGGTAGGGGATGGGAGACACTTTAAGAAAACCTCCAGTACCCAAGATATACCCAGACCAGTTTAGTTCAAATTTCTGTGGGTTGGTCCTAGGCATTAGTATTTTATAAAGACTGCACAGGTGATTCCTGGCCTCCATAAGAGAGAACTTGGGAGAGTCCCTTTTCAAAAAGAAGTAAGAGTGAGAGATTGGAGGCTGCAAGTGAAAGTGGACTTTAGGTTTGTGTCATCTCCTTATTTATTTACCTGCTTAGTTTTATTTTTTCCAAGCTTATTTTTTTAAAACTGCTCTATTCTGGTGAGGTGTGTATGTCACGATATATGGTACTGATCAAGAATCTGAGAAAGCCTCCCATTCTCTAAGAAGCTAAGACATCTTTAGCTTTGTTCTTTGTTGTTCATTAGTCCTTTGTATTCTGGATTTTATCATTTGACTCACTTTCTAGTTAAGTAAAGAAACCAGAAAACAACACAGCATAAGACTTCTGACTAGCCATTTGTGATACAGTGTGTATTTCTTCAACCAAAGGTTTCTGTCTTTATAAAAAGGAGCAGTCTGGCTTAGAGCCACTGGTCAATGCAGAGAGAATTTTCTTCCTAGGCTAGGTTCTGATGCTGCCGACCTTGAAAACAACCCCCATATGTCCCTTACATTGTAATGTTCATCTGGGGCCCCTGACAGTGTTCTCAGCAGTGCCAGTGGCTGTCAGGTAGGCAGCTGGGAAGATAGGTGATTTTAAGTTTTAAAGGTACAGGAGGGGATTGCGTTTCTTTCTTTAGACCACTGCAAAAGAAATTTGTTAGTCGGCATTATGCCTGATTTAAGATTACTGCCCGTGTGATGATTTTAGCATTTTCCTCGCCTCGGCTCCTTTTCAGCAGCTTGAACATTTTTCTTCCCTTCCCTCCCTATGTGGCAAACTGTTTTCAGCCGCCAGCTATGATTTACGACTCAGTTCATGCGCCAGCATTCCAGCTGTGAGCAGCTGTGTGCACATCTGGGAACCTCCTCCCCTTAAGCGCCCCCAAAAGAGGCTGTTTTTGAGCCATTATCTCCCCTGATCCATGCATGGAATTTCCTTCCCATTGTGGATTCTGATATCTGGGGAGCCACCTGGACCCTGAATGCTTTGTATCTCTCAGTAGTAAGAAGGTGAGTGTCAGATCAAAGAGATTTTATGAAAATCAGACATCAGAGATTCAGTTCATTTAGGCTGCCTTTCTAAATCTTTCTTTGTGTTGCCACTAGATAAACTTACACTATCTACCATAACAAGGTTTTAAAAACTACCTGGTTTCTGTAAAATTTTACCATTGTGCTATTACTAGTGCCATCACACCTGAATCAGCACACTTGTGCTGCTTCTCTAGCCTGCGTGATTGCATTTTGACCAGGTTTGAACAGTCACCTAGAGAATTCCTGTTTGTTTTGAAGTCACTGTCCAGTTTTGCCCTCTAATGCTAACAACTTGTCCACGGGAGGAGGAGGATAGGCACAGACCAGGGCCCCTTCTGCAAGTGTTGAGTGTTGTAGTCTGTGAGCTCTGAAAGACAAGTCCTGTTTTATGGTACTGCCTTGAATCATTCTGACCCCTGTTCTTTCATAAATACAGATCACTATGTGAAAAGCATTAGAAATATTGGTCAGTATTAAGGTAAACTGAAAGTCAAAAAAAAATTCAGCGGTGATATATTTGAGGTTTACAAAATGAAAACGGGTTTAGTTTGGCTAAACATGGACTTGTTTATCATCTTGAAACTTAGGGGTAGTCAATTTATAATATTAAGCAGATTAGAGGAGCTCCTAGATGGTGGCTCCAGAATATCTTAAGGGATATTAAAGAATTTTAGGGGCAACTCCTAATCCTTTGAAGGAATACTGGAAGAATATCCTCTCACTGCATCCTCTTGGAAAAAATACCTCTTGGCATCACCACTGCCACTGGCTGACTCAGTATTGTATTTCTTAAGTTCTAAGAATTTTATGAATTGGTGACAAAAATGACATCAGGCAATATTAACTTAGGTTGTGCTTTGTGGAGCTGAGAAATGGGGAGATTGCTTTTACGCTTTCTCCAAGCTGTAACCTTTCTTCATCTTCTATTTATAGCAGAGCAATGATATCGCCCGGGGCTTTGAGAGAGGACTGGAACCAGAAAAGATCATTGGGGCGACAGATTCCTGTGGTGACTTAATGTTCCTAATGAAATGGTGAGAGAGATTGGGCCTCACTCTACAATTGTGTTTCTATGCCAGTGACTTGAAAATTTATGAAAGATAAGGAAGGGGAAGAATAAGTATTCGTCAACTAAGATTTTTGATTGTTAATGATCATTTACTGATGCCAACTGTCATATTAAGTGGGTATTATGGTTTGGAATAGATTTAAGACAAGCTCAAGTTTTGATATTAAGCCAAATTATATTAGCCCAAATACCTAAGGTAGCTTTTGAGCTAGGAAACATAGAACCATGACCTAACCATTTATTTACAGTTTTGAATCATTTACCATCAGACCATGAGCCTGTGGCTGAGGGATAGGAGTTGAATGAGGCTTTCTACCATCACTGAGGATCAAGACAACTGAAAAATGTCTAAAAGAGAAAAATAATCTCAACAAAAGCACTAAGAATAATACTGGCCAAAAGCACAAGTTATTTAATCCAGTAGAAAGGAATGGCTCTTACAGGAAAGTGTACTTACTTCCCTCAGTTTGGTTCCTTAAAGACTTACTAAGTTATGTTGTGGCCCTCACTGTCTATTTTGAAGTGTTCTGGGCTTGTGATTTAAGTTTGGTCTCTAAATAGAGGGTTCATGCTACAGTATCAACTAAAGAAGCTAATTACCTTAACAGTTGTATAATCAGAAAGTTTAGTATTTTAACTGATTGAGATTTTGCTTGTAAATTACCCAGATCCTATGTTTGAAGAATCACCATACTCTGTCAGAAGTAATGATCTATATTGACTGCTTTTCCCACTCAGCCATCTGTGTTACTTGTGATTTACATTCACATATTAACCAGCTTTTTCCATCTCAGTTCAAATTTGAATATCTGCTCCAACCTGTGTGTTTCTCCCGCCCTCTCCCCCATAATATTTAACTGTATGGATTAAATATCTCAGTTTTCTAGAAAAGGAGGTAGTTGTGTTTGCTCACATCACTGTGGCATTTTAATTTAAAATACATTTTTTTCTTGGAATCCTTGTTAAGAAACTTGATAGATTTTTTTGTTATGTGTTGGTAGGAGAGCCTGTGTAACTCAGATGATTGAAATTTGCTCTTAATTCGTACATTTCATTTTAGTGTCTAGACTTTCTATTCCCCTTACTCTCCCTTTTAGAAGTGTTGTTGCTGATTTAAATTTCTGTTTTCTTATTGTTCCCATGGTTCTGACCACAAGGATAATGAGTGTTTAAAAGGCTACAGGCAGAAGGGTTAGGACCCTTTTCATTTAAGTGATCCAGAAACTGGATTGATCAATTTATGCTTAATCAGTAGGGCTGAATGTAGGTTTGATTGCGTGCTCATACACAGATATAAAAATTATGAGAGGAGAGTTCATATAATTTAATTTTCAGCCTTTTGATTAAGCCTGCTTTATTTTCCATTTAAATTTTGGCTGAAGACTTCTGTTTGTGATGTAGTAGTTAAATGATATTCACTAATAATTTGATTCAGTTACTTAATTTCTTCTTGAAAATACTGAGCTGTTAGGGTCCTTTTCATCTTGCTATCAAGATGAAGAAGAAATCACATCAGCTAAATGCACATGACATAAACCTATGTTTGGACAGACTTACTCTGACTTCGTCTCCCTCTAAGTCTGATATTCTTTCTCTCCAGGAAAGACACAGATGAAGCAGACCTGGTTCTTGCAAAAGAAGCTAATGTAAAATGTCCCCAGATTGTGATAGCATTTTATGAAGAGAGACTGACGTGGCATGCATATCCTGAGGATGCGGAAAACAAAGAGAAAGAAACAGCAAAGAGCTAAAGGAGGGAGTGGTCTCTGTCATTTCTCTTTGTACATAATACATTCACCTCCCTGCCTCCTCTCCCTTCTACTCACCCTCTTCTATCCTAAACACATCCATAAAAAATGTGCTTATCACTGTGTGCTCCACAGGAGAAGTGTTGGTATTGGTTCCCTTGTAACATAACTGATGGTCTCATTCATAAGTGTCTCTCTGTGAAGACCAGGCATTTACATACTGTGTGTAATTCCCACAATTTTTTCCTTTGCCCTGATCTTTCTGTTCTGTTTCTTTCTGTCGTCAAGATGAGTTTTAACTTTATAATCACCTTAGAGTTTCGATCTTTTCAGAGTTGGTTGCTTTTTAGATTGGGGGATTTTGTTACAGTGGTGATAAATTTTGGTTTCTTACTTTGGTTTTTTAGAACATGTTGATGACCAGCTAGCCTTTGTTTTGAGATGTTGGTAAGGAAAAGATGTTGCCCATCTTTTTAAAAAACCAATAGCAACTGCCTACCTGTTGGGGCTTTCCCAACCCTCATTCAGCTCTATCCAGGAGAATACAGGGTTCCTGGTGTGGTCTTCAGAGCCACCCTCTGTTATTCATCCTCACCCATCCTCCCAAAGTAGCTCCATCCTTTGGAGGACTTGAAATTTTACATTCAAATTTATCAGGGCAAATTTAGCCCTAGGGCTTTTGGCCTTGTTTCTTAGCAGTCCCTGGTTCTGCTTCTACAAGGTGGTGTAATCTGTCATAAAATTACAAGATTATTAACTGTGTAGATTTTTAGCTATTAGTACATGAGGATGATGGGGTAGGATACAGTTGTCATCACATATGGTATGTATGTATTATTTCCTTCCATGCCTCACATTTGGACTATATATTTACGTAGGTGTGAGTGACTGCCTGGTGCTTGCTTGTGCCAAGGTGCTAGGCACCCTCCAACTCTGCCAACTTTTGTGGCCTCCCAAAGCATTCCTGTTACCAAAGAGGCTTCAAACCTGACCCTCACTTCTCAGTGAACCCGAGTTTCCCCTCCATGCCATTATTTTCAGTGGGGAATTCTTGGAGCCATTGGCCACAATATCGATTTTAAATATTAATAGCATTTATAGTCATAAATTTCCTGCCTTTTTGACTGGATTTGCCACTAAGAGACCCCGAGGTATTAATGCTCTTCCCTATTTCCAGCCTCAAACTCGTAGTTGTATCTTACTTTTAAAAATGCATTTCTGTGGAAGACTATCACCTCAAGAGAGTGACAGGCCCTGGCATTAGTGTGTCAACACAACCATCTCTCCCTACTCAGCAAAATACTTCCCTTTGGCTGCCTCCCACTTTGCCTTTACACTGAGATAGTTTTTCCGATCATGTCCTTCATGTCCTTCTGCCTTTGTCCCCCAAGAAATGCCCTACAGAAATACCCTTTTTTTCTTGTAGTTGATGGGGTTTTGAGCATCTTTTTCCCAGCCCAGGGCTGAGGAAATAAGAATAAATGCTTGAAGTAGCCTTAACTCTGGGGTTCACTGGCCATTGAGGTGGTTCTTGTTGCTTTTGATTTTTAAAACATAGCTCTCTGGCCAGGGGCGTTGAACCATTTCTGGATTATTCAGAGTAATGAGAATGGATGGATTGCTCTAGTCCACAGTTGAGCCAAATAATATGCAAATCATATACCCATTCATAGCATTTGTTAACATTGCTTCCCTGCTCAGCTGCTGATTGAATTCTGTGTGCTTGTATAAATTATGTCAGGATGTATACTATACACTTGAGGAGACAGCTGCTGCTGCAGGGATGTGACAGACTGGAACAATGAAGCTTTTGGTTTAAGGCATCCGGGAAAATCCTAAATGGTAATGCTATTGGGTGAAACTCATAACCCATACCTCAAGTGGGTAGGAGTTTTAGCTCCATCTTTGCTTCCTCTCTGAAGGAATTAAAGGCCTAGGTAAGTGCTAGGTAATTGAGAGTTGTTAGTACTTAATCTGATAGGTATCTAACAGAAAGAAAGGATGGTCAGAAAACAGATTTGTCATACAAGTAACTGAGGATGTCAATTAGGATAGATGACAATAGGACAGAAGTAGGCCAGAGCCCTGAGGAAGTGATTTGGGTCTCTCAGTTTGCAAATGGAGAAATAATAGCTTATCCGTGTAGCTGGTGTGTTATCTCGTAGGGACAGTGGGCATGGAAACTACAGTGACCATATTTTTTAAACCAAAATCTAACACGTGGGCAAAGACTACAACAAGTATTTCTTACTGAGATTGGTCCTGAGAAACTTGAGGCACATGGTTGCATTGGTTATAGGTAATACTTTAGATATCTGTTGATAGCTGATTTTCTTTTAATGAAATAACCACAGTATCAACTACTATTCATAGCTTACTCTTACTCATACCCCTTTAGTACCTTACTCTTTACTCCATTCATCTTTTTCTGTCCACAGTTTGTTGATCATAGTCTTGTACTGAGTGCTGCCAACACAACTTTTGTTCTGTCCTGCCTACTGACAGCTGCTCCTATAGAAATGTAGGTAGCCAGAAGCCAATACTGATTTCAGCCTTCAGCAGAATGGCAACCAGATGCCTGCCTGTGCCTCTGGCATTTGTTCTAAGTAGCTCTCCTGCCCCGTGGAGAAGTGCAACCTCAAACAGAACCTGTTTCTCCTCACAGAAGAATTTATATAGCATTGGGCCAAGCACTCCCTAAAACATCTAGGTCTCAAGTGCTCAGTATATTTTTCCTGTGTTTAGTCCTCTTCCAAAACATCTTTCTAATGCTAAGTTTTTTCTGGTAACAGCATTCAGGAATCGCCCTTTCCACAGAATGTAGGAGAACCTCGTCCAGCAGAGTCTGTCTATCAAGGTCAATGTAGCTGCATTTCTGAGCCCTGGGCTGGGCTGATGCCCTCGTGTTAAGATCATCTGTTAGGAAAGTCAGCCCTGAAGGAAGCACTCATTTTTAACCCAGAGAAAGTCGTGGCATTTTTCCTGCTACAATCCAGTTTTTGGGCAAGGGAACAAAACCTGTGTGCTTCTTAAGGCTCAGAAGTCTAGATGGTCCTTGGCTGTCCCCAGCCATATCGCGTACTACCTTTTGTTGATGGAAGGTTGGTCTTGTTCCCATAGTTTGGGCAGTCAGGTTGTTACTAACTCTTTCCATCCCTGTTCTATAACCACAGTGTTGTGGGCAATCCATTTTCCTTATATTCAGGCCAAGTCCTAGGGCCTTGGCAAAGATGCTTGGGATTTTAATATTGTGATTTTGTTGGATCTGTGTTTAGCCCAGCTTTCCTAAGGACAGTGAGGGATCAAGTAGGATCTGCATTTGAGCTGGGGAACAATTGTCTTTGCCCTGAGGGTTCAAATTTGAGAACTTAAAATACTACTTTGCAATGCCATGAGAACCCCAGGAAGGGTTATGGCATTAGATAAGGAAATGTAGAGTTTCTCTCAAATTAGGTCCAAGAAAAATTCATTTTGCACCTGTCACTCCCATCCTCTTTGTTTAGATTTTTAGAATAAATACGGTGTTGAGGTCTGTACCTTTGTGATCAGACCACCAAGCAAGCATACCTGTGGCAAGGCAGAGAGAGGAAAGGTTTAGATCCAGTGTGTTCCAGTTATGTTTTCATAAATATAGAGAGGTTATCAGCCTTACACCCAACAGCATGCTCAGAATTGGGTGCCCCTGCCCCCCACCCAATTAATAACAGTAGATTTGTATTGAGTAGTCCATATTCTAACCACATTAGTGTATGTCAACATTCATTTCATTCAACAAATATTTTTTGGCCCTGGGGATACAAAGTTCAAAACTATGCAGTTCCCTGACCTCAAAGAACTTTTCATACTGGTGTGGGATGAACTGAACGTTGTTGTGTGTAATAAAGGTTATAAATGGGCACACATTTCTGATTTTGTGGCAGAGACAGCTAGTTGTAGTTTGTAGCTCTAAAGTAGATGGATGACAGTTGGTTCATATGTGGAAAAGACTTAGGATCTTGAATGAGCTGAGCTAACTGGCCATAGTTAGACCACAATGACTAGGGCTTGTTTTATTCCAGAAAATAAAGATAACTATTATCTAAAAGGTTTGTTAGATAAGCTGCTGTTAGAACTGAGAGAAAACAGTAAGTGGGGATTGAGAGACTCTTTTTATGGTCCCTATTTTAGGCCCATTGCCAAAGGGTATAATTGTATAGTTTTAGTCCTTGCTTGTGTAAAGTATTAATTATATTGCAGGTCCAGTTATATGTTGTTACCTTGTTGAGGGTTCTGTAACATTTATTTCTCCTGGACATTTTATCACAGTTACTCACACCATTTTCACTTTCTCATCCTGTTTGGAGGAATTAACATGAGGTTGGCTTTAAGCCTAAAATAGGGACATAATTTCCAATGACAGAATTGCTGAAAAAAAGGCTTGGGGCACATCTGTTAACACCTGGGCATCTACTCTGGGTGATGTAGTTACATTCAACATGGGAAGATGGTGATTTCTAAGCAGAGACCTGTGTCAGTTATGTGAAAACCTCTCCCAAAATACACACACCCTGGAGTTTGATTTTTAATCTAAGAAGGGTTGGGGTGAGGAGTAGGCCTGTTAAGGAACAGTCTGATCCTAAGAAATGTTTCAGTTCTGACAATGTGACCACAAGAAAAAGATACTTTTCTCTGCCTGGATAATTGGCGTTGCTTAGCTTTGAAAGTCAGAATTCCCAGGAATTAGAACAACGGTTCTGAATAACTAAAGTGGAGGTCCTTTGGATAGCTTCATGAAGACATTTACAGTTTTCTTTTTGCTTGTGCTGGATTTACTGAATTTTAAGCTACCTCATCTTGTCTTTTTAGAGTTACTTCAGCTTGTTATTGCCTCTCTAACATCAGGTTTGACCGGTGGTTTTCTAAGGTGGAATTTGTGCTGTTTACACGGGCACAGTGATGTCTTGCCTTTTCTTCTGATCCTTATTTCACCTAGCATCTCATGTTGCTCCTCTGTCAGAGAAGTTTTTAAAAATACTTTAAAATCTTTGTTCATGGAAAGAAAGTGACCCTCCCATGCTATTTGTCTTTGAGATCAGTAAGAGAAGGAGTTAAACGAAGGTGGCGGTGGGGGCGGACAGAACCTGCACTGGAGGCAGCCGACAAGGAAGAGCCATTAATTAAGACAATTTCAAAGTCAACTGATTGTGATCATTAATGTCACAATAGATCAAAACCTAATTATCACAGCCTAGGTAAGAGCCATCAGTATTAATCGGAAAATCTAATAGGAAACTATTATCAAGAAATTAGGCTAAATTGAATGCAGTGAACTTTTTATCTTGCTATTCTGGTTTGTGTGTGTGTGGGCATGTGTATGCGCAAAATGTCCCCTGGCATTGGCAGGTGTGACCCTCAAAGTTGATCCAGGGGCCAGTTCATCACACTTTTTGAGGAATTCTAAACAGACTGAACCTGAACTGTCATTGCCACTTTAATCAGTCTTGAAACTATCATCACCTGGACTTGTCCAGTGTGATAAGCAATCAATGAAAAAAGGTTTATATTTAGGTCTTGGAATGGTTAGTCTCCTGGAACTAAAGTATATCTGGTGAGCATTAAACTTGATAAATCATTTTTTGAGCTTCTGATGTATATAGAGTCCTGCTCTGGCTACTGTGAGGGGGTAATGGAAGAAAGGAGGGGTTTCTGCCTGGTGGTTCTTTGAGAAGCCTAAGAAGGTAGAGCTTAATTGGGTCACTGCACTCTATAGGCTTGTCGGTGTTTTACAGTTTTCGGTAGCTTTAGTATCTGATTTGAAACAAGGGCTGGCTGTGGACTTATTTTTTCCCCCTAATTTTAGGATAAAGGTCATCATTTTACCAAAATCCAGTTGTAAATTCAAAGGAGGGGGAAAAGTATTTTTTCTTCTGCCTTTTCTTTTGTTAAATAGTTACGCCTCTGGCATGAGGAAAGAATATTACAGTCTTATGACAAGTTATAGGGAATACTTCATACCCTCTTCCTGAATGGAAAAGTAGGGGTTACTGTTTATATCCTTAATCTTGAGCTGATTTTGAGAATGATGTAACTCCTGAAGTTGAGCTGAGCCAGGAAGATTGGAGAGATCACCCTCTGAGTGTTGTGGGGAGAGAGAAGTAGTGGCAGGGAGGGTGTTTGGTGGGTGGTACGATTCTTAGATTCCTCGCTTAGCCTGTGGAGTGCTCGCCTTCCCCCACCACCTTGCAGCTTAGAGCACTGCCAAGACCACCACCCACTGGGGAAATGGTTCTTCTCAATGTGGTCTTGTTTCTGGATTTTAGGAATGTGAGTTACTCAGTAAAGAACTTTGGGAAATTAGTGTGATGTAGTTAGTCCTTCATCTGTTAGGATAAAGTGATGATTCTTTACAAAAGAAACAAAAGAATATTATGCCTTTAATGTTTAAAATGAAATTTTCTGTTCAAAACATGCATTGACACAAGACTTTCAGAAAGAGTGTTTCTCTAATGTTCCTCATGTTATGGTAGATAAATAATAGGCCCTCAGGTAATGCTTGTGGGTTGATTGAATTTGTCTGGTTTACAGAGTGAGTTGTACGTACTGACTTCATTTTGTTCCCAAGTGCACTCTTAAGTTTAAATGCTCGAGGGAGTGGAAGAAGAATTGAGTGGATGCTGACTCTATATGCCAACCTCCTCAACTGATTCCATAATGGCTGACCTTGGGCAAGTCACTCCTTTCAATGCCTCAGTTCCCCATCTGTCAAATGGGGGTAATAATACTGACCTACCTCACGGGGTGTTGTGAGGCATTGTAAATCAAACTTGTAGAATACTTTAGAGTCCTCAGTGGAGGACACCTTGAGCCGAAGGTGAGGCCTGACATAGGCCTTAGTCCTCACTGAGCTGTCCTGAGGTTGGCACTACTTAGTGATCTCGGCAAGTTCTGCCCCCCACCCCTCATCAAAGCTGCTAGTTCAGATGTTGACAGTGTTTTTGTGAATGTTGGAGTCTTATTAGTCCAGACTTAACTTTGGATGTTCTGGAGGAAGGCACTTGGTGTTTTCTGTGTTGCATCCACAAACAGAGGTGGTTTTAAACCCAAGAGCATTGGATTAGGGAACTACGAAGCCAGAATGCTACTATTTGTTTCTCTCTTGCAGGTTGGTAGTTGAGGTCCCATTTCCCATGTGACTTGGGCCATCACAGGAGCAAAGCAAACACAGTGGGTTTACTTTATATTGTTGCGTATCATTCTGCTAACTAATCCAGGACAGCCGAGTCTCTGCAGCCCTTGCCTCCCCATGGGAACCAGCTGGTTCAATAAATGTATCTGCTTCCTCTGCCCATCACCAGAGAAGAGCCACATTAGAAAAAAAATTTCTAGGAATATGTTTAACACTCAAAATTGGGCATTGATGCTCCTTAAAGCTTCATCTAATTCACTGCATTCAGTGTCTGTCATTTCTTTCTTAGTGTCCACAGCCTGAACCTGACTTTGACCTTTTTTCCCTCCAGTTTGGGAGAACTTCGGACACGTATTTGCCCAGGTGTGGGCTCAAGAGCCTTACTCTTCATCTCAGTTTAGGGACTCAGCCAGCTCCTCTTCCCAATAAGGCTCTTTCTCCTTTCCCTCTCCTTGGCCCTAAATGTGTAACCCATGAGAAAGCACAAGTCCCTGGCCCCTTACCGCAGTCACATTCTGGTTCTCTCTTCTGTGGACTCTGCTCTGTTCACCCAGCGCTGGCAGTGCCAGGTGGGTCTGGAGTTGGGGAGGATGGAGAGTGCACGTATGCTGACAAGCTGCCAAATAGCCAGGAGTTCATTCACCCATGGCCCACTGGCCTGACCTCCCTTCCCCAGGATGGGATCTAAGAGACTCAAGAGGCTGGGTTTCTTTCAGCTCTCTACCATCCTGAGTAGCAAGCAAATTACACTTTGTTGCCAGATTTCTGATTGGAAAAAGTAGGAAATTGAACTCTCTATGGACCTTGGTTTGTGGGGGAGTTTTGGTTGTGTTTCTTGGTTTTAGTTAAGCCAAACATGTCTGCTTTTTTTTTATTGTTTTAGGGTAAGTGGTATATATATATGTTCACCTTTTAAATGTAAATGTTTAAAAGTAGGCAATTTGTGTGTTTCTACGACTGACATCTGTTGCAGACCTCATTCTCTCCTCTTCCACCCTCCTGTTTTCCCTCTTTTCATACTCTTGTATTGGTTCTAATAAATGGTTGCTTTTCAAATATGGATCCTGAGTGATGGTTTGAAGATCTGGGTCTTAACACTCCTTCCTTAATGTGGGCCCTGGAATGTCAGCCAGCAGTCAGTCATGCATTTCTGGAAGAGGATCTGAGAACCGGCTTTTTTTGAAGGATCATTGGTCTCTGGCTTTCTGCAAATAGCCACAGGGTGGCGCAAGCCCGAGGGAATAAACATGTACCCTGTTCCCTACTCTATTCTCAGCCTGTTCAGAGTGTATGCCATCCTGGTCTCTGCACTGTCTCTGCCTCTGATAGCCCAGAGAATAAACATTAGTCTTCAGGAACCCAGGGATCCCTAGAAGAGTCAACTCCTGGTTATTAGAATTTGTGGAAAACCACTCTGACTCTAAATCAGGTTGGAAAATCCAAATATGTGTGTTTGTAAATAAAACTATTGTTCTGATGTGCTTCACAAATACCAAAGAAACTGTCTTCTCTGAGGAGCTAATAATTGTGGGTCAGAAACATGGTGAGGGGGATTGGACGGGGAAATTCTATGTTGGTAAGAAGGAAGAAAGTATATAGATAATCAAGAATTTATTGGGCAATATAAAGCTGTTCTGAGTCTAATGGAGACTGGCCGAAGCTCACAGAGAAGTGAAAATGGAGGAAGCCCAGAACCCAGACATCCTCCCACTGAGATGTGACTCCTCCAAAGGCTGAGCCTTCTTGTTTCCGCCATCTCTTATCTGCAATTCTTCACTCTTGTTTTCCTTCTTGCAGCTGAGTTATAGGGTCTCCCCAGTCTAAATCTCGTAAAGTCTTATGAAGACATCTGTAGGTTGGCTGGTTTAATGGTCCATGACCCCATAAACATGGGACAGGAGAGCCATTTGGTCCACTTCAGAGCCAGGCCCTTCTGGACATTATTTATTTCCCACCTCTGAAGCCTGGGACTGCCGCCCCTTTCCTTTCGATCTCTTTCTAGTTCTCAGTAGTACTGTGCTCGTCTCTGCCAAGGGCCCATTGCAAAGCATGACTCCAGGGTTTTGACACCAGCACTCCCAGTCCTGAACAACTGTCTTTGCTTTTTTTGCCATCCTGTGTGTTGGGATATGCCTGCATGGCACTCATTCAGATGGGTTCACCATCGCTCATAACTCCTCCAGGAATCTTGCCTCAGTGTGCTGGTGAAGTTCAGAGCCAGGCAGTTCTGTCTCCTTTTGTCCCCACTGGAGGGCTGCAGAGCTAGTGAAATCAGTGCGGCACCTACAGTCTGGAGGAAATGGAGGATCACTGTGTGGGAGTCTGCTTAGTTCCTCACTGAGTGCACAGCTCTTAAGTTGCCATTAGAGTAAGCAGCCCCCAGGCAGCCTCCACCTTTGGAAGGAGGTGTGAGCTGAGGGTGAGAGCCTCGTGTTGAGGCCGCTCACATGAGCATGTGCAGAGGAAAACCCATTACAGCCTGTGACATGCCAAGCTGGTACGCAAGCCTTGAATGTGACCTGTGGGGTGGGGGTGGGGAATGAGAGGCCAAACCAGGCAAAAGCTGAGGCCAGCTGGTGGGTGTGAGCACACCATACCAGTAATGGGGCTCTGTTACTGCAGCAGAGATTGGGAAGATCAGGGTAAGAACTCTTGTGTACTCACCTGCTGAAGTTGTAGACAAGCAGAAGGCACATGAGGGGAAGGGTCTGCTTCTAACCCCTGAGCTCCTTGGCCTTTGTCTCTTCCCTGCTCTGCTCTCCTGCTTCCCCCACCGGCTCTGCAGCTGTAACATCTTGCTTTCCAGGTGCCGGCTCCCTCCTCTCTCAGCTTCTGTCTTTATTTGTGCGTCTGTGTTTTTTATGGTTTCTCCCCTTTGTCTACTATATCGTGTGTTTTTCTCTTTGTCTTTTTTCTTTTCATTTCTGGTCTCTCCACTCGACATTTTCTCTACCTCCTGTAAATTCCATAAGCAGCCTCAATTTGGACATTTAATTTCAACCCCATCAAATTATTATCTTCTTGCAACAATCTGGGACTCTTAATGAGCTCTTTCTACCCCATACCTCTGGAAACAGGTGCATCTCTTTCTGTGTATAATGGGAAGCCCCTCCCAGATGGGGAGAGGCAGTGCCGGCTCGAAGGCCTCATACCTCTTCTCAGCAAAGCCTTGTATGATCATTTGGTTATGAGCCAGAGCGAGGCTGAGAATTGAGCTGGCTGATAAATAGGGGCTGCCGAGATGAAAAGGTTTGGGGTTATTGTACCCCTTCTTTTTTTTCCCTCCCTGCTGCTGCTGTCTTTTGGGGGAGGAAGCTGGTGGGGAGCTAAGGAATTGGGCACAGCTGTTGCCGCTGATGAAATTCTACTCCATCTGTAGCAAGGGTGGAGGTGGGGGCAGGTGAGCTCTGCAGCAAGCGGGAGGAGGCAGGTGAACTGAAGCCCTGCCTGTGCTGTGTGGGCACGAGTGGGCCATTCCCTCCTGCTACTTGGAATACCCAATACCGAGGAGCACCTCTTCAAGTGGCCTGTCCCCTCAATCCGCCACCCCCACTACAGCCCTCCACTACTGTATGTTTTGGCTCTTCCTGGCAGGAACCAGGAGAATCCAGCTCCCAGATACCTAGGCCTGACTGCACTCCTTTGCTGTCTTTCACACAACCCTTTTCTCTACTTCTTGCCCCACCATTCCCGACCTGGGGGGCAAGGGAGATGGAGCTGCCTGCTCCTTGAAGGTGCTGAGAGGGTGTGGGCACTTCTCTCCTGCTTTTGACACCAGGACACAGAGGATGCTCCCTCTTTCCAGGTTTTCTCTGCCTTGCCTCTTCCTGACTCATGTTCCTTGTTCTTTCCCAGTTTCTGGTTTTCTCTTAATCATATGCTGCTCAGTTCCTCTTTCCCTTTTTTTCTCCCTGTTTTTTATTTCTATGTTTCTAGGAGTAGAAAGCAAAGAAGAGGGTTTGAGGAAAGAGGTTGAGAGGGAAATAAAAATGCAGATTTTTCTCTTCCTCTTTGGAGGTTGTATGGAAGGGGGATACTGTTCATCTCTCTCGTCTTGGGGATAGGAACATCTGTCCATCTCCTCAGCCCTTCTGATTCTCTCAGCAATGATGTCCAAAGCAGGGATTGTTAACCTTTGAAAAACAGTTTCTATTTTTATTGGGTTCTTTGTGATCTTACATGTGAGAGAGACCCTTGCCATCCCCACAAAAACAAAGTCAGTTCTCTGTGGTATTTTTCTATTGACATTTTTAAGATAATCACTTATGAGAATTTCATAACCCTTATAACCCTTGAGATGATTGGAGTCTGGGTATAAGACTGTCCAGTGGACCAACTGGATCTGTTAGGGAGGAAGAAATTCCCTTTACCCTACGAGGTCCTTCTAGCTGGTTTAAGAAGCAAATTGACACAAGACATATTAACAGGAGAGAAAAAATGAAGTTTAATTATGTACATATGGAGAATCCATCAAAATGAGATTCTACAGACAGTCGGGAAAAATGAGGTATATATGTCATCCTCAACTAAGGAGAGGTGGGTAAGGTTCAGGACTTCTAAGGAAAAGGGAAGCAGCAATTCACGGGAATAGGAAAGAATAACTTTGGTAAATAAATGTTTGCTGGGCCACAGAGAAACAATGGGGCATAGGAATTTAACAGACTTTGCTAAGGTGGCACATATTGGGGGTGTTCTACCCTTCACCCCTATGTAGTTCCTTATTTCTGTCTGAAATTTGTAGTACCTTTCAACATAGGGATAAAACTTTTCTTCTTTGGGGTCTCCTGTTGCCCCATTGTCAGTTTCAGGGATCATAGCGCCGGGAGGAACCTTCCCTGACTCCTGCCCCATCGCTTATAGGCAGGACCAGCCTGCCTGTAGCCAGTGAGGAACAGTGACTGGATCTCTCCTCCCCACCCTTTAATTGTCCCGATGATTCTTTCACTCAAAACAGAGAAAAGGGCTTCTGGTTTAAATTAAGGAGCTGGGTCAGAAATGGCTGGGACGAATTTGCAAGCTTGGTTGGAGGAGGTGGGAGAGGGAGAAGGGGCACAAGGTTGTCCCTGTGCTGAACAGGGAGACTGGAATGAAATGAGGAAGGATGGGAGATGAGAAGCTTGAAAAAATGGATGGTGTGCAGGGGACCTGTGTGCACGCCAGACACGAGGCCAGAGTGGGGAAGCTCACAGAGGGGCTGCAAGGCCTCCAAGGCTGCATCTGCCTCCAGGCAGAATGTCTTCTTCACCCAGACACACATGGCTGGAACTTCACTTCTGAAGAGCTTTGGGCCATGAATCAATTTAGCGACTACCCTCATGTGTTCTGAGTTAGAGCAGTCTTTGCTCTGTACTGGATGACTGCCCTGAAAATCTAAAAAATATTTTTGATTACTTCAGGAGGCCCTTCTGCATCCTGAATGACTTCAGTTTCCATCCTGGTGTGGGGAGGGCCTGGAATCCTGATGTTTTCTTCCCTGGTGGTCCCAGGAAGTGTATGAGTGGAGTGTGTGTGGGAGGGTGGGTTTGGGGGTTCACAGTACTGGTGTATCACTGGCTGCAGATGGGATACCCTAATGCACATTTAGAGATCTCTCAGAACTGAATAGCTGTACTGTTTCCAAAGAAGAATGGGGCACAAGGCTCCCCCTTCCTCCCAACAAAATGGCAGGTCTGTGTGTGTATGAGAGTTGGAAGGATGTGTTAATTTGAATGTAACTCCCTGAATATATGTTTGTGCTCATTTGAATATATTACATTCCACTGAGTCCAAGCTGAGTCTCTTTAATAGAGGGGAAGCAATGGTCTAGATAATTCAAGACAGCAGATAATCCCCAAATCATTTATAAATATGATTGAAAGGTGCTTTGGACTGAGCTCGGGCCAGTCTCTGGAAGATGCCTTGTGGACTTCTCTGGGCCAAGAGGAAGAAGTCATTAATGGCGGCAAACAAAAGCTGCCTTTTTGACAGGTAGAAAGACAGGGAGGCAGAGAGGGCCTCTGGGGCAGCATATTACTGGAAGGCTAGCAAGCATTTGGGAAGGCCAAGGGCATAGAGAGTGGCAGGATAAAATGTGGATTGCAAGAGGTCAGGAAGCCATATAAACTCACAACTGACCTCCAGAATTAACCAAACCACTTTCTCAGAACAACCTGGGTACTAGGAAAAAGTTATTGGGTGAGAATTCAAGTCAGTCTTTGTCATTCACAGGCTGTGTGATATTAGGTAAGTTAATCTCTCCCTCTAATATCAGTTTCCTGAGGGAGTACAACTCAAATGTTGAATAGTGATTTCATTTTTCACAAAATATTTTCTTTTATTATTATCATAATGAACACTGATACAAAGAAACGTTGGAAAAGCATAATCCTCTCATGTTAATACATACGTTTGTGTGCTGGACCAAATTTTATCCAAATAAGACAAATTCCTGTTTTTACATCATGTACCTTTTGGTAGTTTTTCAATTAACATAATAAAATATAGTTCCACAGCACTATATATTCTTAACAGTTATTGTTTATACTCATTATGAATGTACTATGTTTGGATTCTATCAGGATCTGGGGTGTGGAAGGCCCCCTCCCCCCATTCTGGCTGCTGCCTCACCTCAGCATCCTCCCTTTGAAACAGTGGTGGTTCCAGGGTTCCATGCTTAGCTCACGTTCTCATCCCACACTTCCTTCTCCTGAGAGAGCCCATCTGTTCTTGTAATTTCAACCACTACTAAGGTAAGGCTCACAATCCCCAAATCTGTATCTCTGTGTCGAGGGAGCACAAAGTCACAGGAAAAGGCTGGAGGCATGGGGTGGGGGGGCAGGAGAGCTGCCTGCGACGGGCTGGTAAGGACAGGGGAGGCAGGTAGCGACCAGGACTCAGTTTTCACAATGACCCACAGGGTCACACTTGCAGCCAGCAGGCTATTAGGCAGCCTGAGGTGATTTGGGGGGTTTGTGCTGCCCCCTGGTAGCCACTGACGGAACAGCCGTGAGGACCATCAGGCAGCGAGTAGGCATGCCCTCCACCCTATGGAATGAATGTCTTGCTGTCCCTCACGTTCTTGCAGAATTGATACTGGTGAAATTTGAGGCCTCGGAAACCTCACTCCCTTAGGCTTCTTGACTTGACTTAGATTGTTAGTGGACACTCTTTCCTCCCTAGGTGAACGGGGCAAGGTGGAGTCTCGTCCTCTGCCTTGAATCTCAAGGAATCTTAACACTTTTTGACATGCGGTAAGCATTTTATGGACCATTTTGCGTAATCATATGAAATCCCTATTAAGTGGTCAGTACTGTTCGCATTATCCCCAGTTGGGGAACAATCCCAGAGAGAGGAAGTTACTTTTCCAAGGTTATCAGCACTGGAGTTTGACCCCGGGTCTCTTCGACTCTGAGTCTGTTGTTCGCTGCACCAGCTCTCCACTCTCAGTCCTCCGGTTTCTCACCCCTCACTATCTCGGGGGTGCTTGTACCACAAAGAAACTGGGTGGGGGACTCTTCTGCAGGCTCGAAGATGTCATGTAAAAGATGCTTGGGACCAGCAGAGTACTGAATGTCTCTTTATGTGTGTCCCTGTGCTAAACGGGGAGACGAATGAAATGAGGAAGGATGGGTACCTCGGAATGAATCATTCATTTTCTCATTCAGAATATCGAGCATTTCCTGGACGTCAGGCTCTGTGCTCGGAAACTGGGGAATAGCAATAAACACACATAGTCCTGTGTTAACTGAAGGAGCTGCACAATCTGGTGGGTGCCATCAAATTTTTATACAGTGGATGTCATTACATATTGCCAGAGGTGAGAAAAATCAGGGAGATCTCCCCAGAGGACACCGATAAAGATGTGTTTGTGAGGGAGGGGCAGACTAGGTGGAAACAAGGCACAGGTAAAGGCCAGGCAGAAGGAGACAGTTCACCGAGAATTGAACGAATCTCCTGCAGTTTTGTTTAACTGAAGCACAGGCTATTGTGTGCCCGGGTCTGGCTATACAGCAGGAGATAGGGCTGCAGATAGAGGGATATAGGCAGAATGGGGGGAATTTTCTTCGGTAAGAGTGAACAACATGAGCTACATTCTGAAAGCCTAGGGAGAGCAACGGGTTTTAGGCTGTTGACCGTGTTGTATTTTAGCAAGGCATTCCCTGAGGCAGGGCTACCAATAGAAGGCTACGCACCAGTCCTGGCAGGAAAATTCGAACAGAAGCCCCAGGCCCGAGGCGTCAAGGAAAGGTGAATACATTCTGGAGACACTGCCCCTGTTGAGTTCGAGAGACGGAGGACGGCCAACTGTGGTTTCAGTCTGTGCGAAGCAGACAGATGCCCAGAAGATGGCGCGAGCGAGGGCAGGCGGTCGGGTCGGGCCCGGGCCCGGCTGCGCGGGCGGCTGCTCAGGCAGGCGGGAGTACACGCCGGCACCTGGGGCGGGAGAGGCTCGCGGAGAGGGAGCCCGCCCGCCGCGGAGTCTCCTCGCCCGCAGCCGCCCGCAGCCGCTAGCCACGAATTTATGGCCCGAAGCAGGATGCAGCTGTGCGCAGCTGGGTATGCAAATGTACTCAGATTTCGCTGCCCCGGCCCGGTTGCTAGCAGCGCCGACGGGTAGGAGAAGCAGCACAGCATTGTTAGTGCTCTTCCGCTCTCCAGAGGAGTTTACACAGGGGGAAGGGGTGCTTTTACCTTGCCAGGACAGTCCCGCCTCAGGACCGAGACAGTCTATCTTGCGAACGTGGGTCCTCTTCCTGTCTCCAATGACCTGTGCACCTCCCAACCCGCCTAAGGTGTGGGCTGAGGGACCTCCCCTGGCACAGACCTTCCTGAGACCGGGGTGGGTGAGAGCTGCCTTCCTCTTAAGGAGCGGGAAGGAGCCTCAGAGCAGGGGCTGACAATCCACCCGCCCGTGGCCCAGAGAAGTGTCCCCACTCACCACCGGGGAAGGGGTGGGTCGGCAGCTCAGTCTTCTTTTATCCTTTTGCTTTCTGTCCTGCTGCCCCTCCACTTCTAGAGTTCCTCCGGACGTCTAACCACAGTCATACTTGCTGCTGTTTTACTTGTCCTTGTGGTTTGGCAAAAAGGTCCTATTCCCGAAGTCCCAGTTGTTGGGTTCTGAGGGTGTGGGAATGGGGTAGTGGATTGCTGGACACAGCTAGCCACCAAGGGTCCCCAGGGAACAAGTCTTTACCCCAGGCAAGACCTAGAAGGGAGTCTGGGCTGGTGACTCATTTCCAGCTCTGGCCCCCGTGCCTTGCCGGCGTTTCTCACAATAGCCACAAGGGGTCTTCCTTGCGCTAAGAATGGGAAATCTCAAGCCAGGCTCTAGAGCTGGGAGGCAGAGACGCGTGGCGCAGTGTCCTCACTGCGGTCGCCAAGCCCCCAGACCCGCAGGCATCCACCGCCACCGCCCTACCCCAGTGGCTTCACCAAGACGCGGATGACCTTCAGTTCTCTTACCCCGCGCTGCGGACTGGAGATCCGCACTTCTGGGTCTCCCGTTCCTTCCTCTAAGCCTAGGGAGGAGCCAGAGGGCCTAGGAGTCGAGGGAGGAACTCAGGTCAGACACATAGTAGGCGCCCGATAAACGTTTATGAGATGAATGAGTGTCATGTGTAGAAGCTGGGGGAGGGAAGAGATGCCCTAGATGTGGTGGAGCAAGACCCTCACAAAACAGGAGGGCGCCACAGAGGCTGTACAGCTCCCTCCCAGGGAAACAAGCCATCTTTGGGCCCAGGTCTGTGGGACTTGGATATTGGTACAGCTGGGGAGGTCCTGTAATAAGGGGAATTGGAAGGGATTGGGTAGCCAAGAAGAAAACAACACTGGACTGCTTTGATGAAGAAAGACAGGAGAAAGGAAAACGATCGCGACCCCTAAAGGGCCGTCAGGATGGGGAAATAGCAAATGGCATAGGGGCTGAAGGTTTGGATTGTTTAGCTAAGAGAAGTAAAGTTAAAGCACCCACTTTCTCCCGTGAGGACAGAACTTGTTGGTTTAGCTGCAGCTGCAGCAGGAGAAGTGGTGGTCAGATACTAGGAAGGACTTCCCTGTTGGAGTCAGACCTGGTGGGGATGGTGTACAGGGATGGCGACGTCGTTCCTACGGGCTGGAGGTGAACTACCTGAAACCCCCTTACCTGGGAAACTTGTCAGGGATAGTGGGGGGAGGAGAGAGAATATAGTTAAGGGGTAGACACAGTTGGTAGAAGCCTAGATAGAGGCAGCCGCCCTTCCCCCACGGAAGCGGCTGCGGAGCCCCAGGAGTGGGAGGTGTAAGGACCAGGTGCTGTCTCTCTGACCGCCTACCTGGACAGACACCTGGGCCATGAGACCCACCCTGTAAGGGGGGAAGAAACAAGCCCATCCAGATCGGGCGAACTGTGTCTGGATACGCCCGAGCCTGGGCCTGACTGGCGTTACAGGCCTAGAAGACCCGCACGTGGGCTCCCGAGGTGTAAGGGGATGATGACGTCGTTCCTAGGGCCTGGAGGTGAATTACCTGAAACCCTCTTACCTGGGAAACTCGTCAGGGCTGCTGGCGGCAGAAGAGAATGTAGTTAAGGGTTGGACACAGCTGGCCCGCTCGCCCCCCACTTCAGTGCTCTCGGGGCACTTCCTGAAATGTCTTCTCTGTACCCCCAGGAAAGGGCTCCTTCGGGAAGCTTGCCCTGCTTGCCTCGGCCGGGCTGGATCCTGTCGCTCCTCTAATTTGTTTCCTGTGTGACCTTTAATCTGTGAACAAGGACTACACCTTAATTAGCACACAGTAGGGACACCAAATAACAGCCTGAGTATGGAGGCTTGGTTTTTAAAGTCTTGCATTTAAAATCCGTGTGACCTGGGTTTGAAGCCTCCATTTCCCCATCTGTGAAATGGCAGTGTGCTCCTGTCTTGTTATTTCCCAGGCGGTCGAAAGGAGGACTACGTGAGGTAATGGAAATGAAAGCATTTTGTTCTTATGCAAATTGAGAGCCATGGGGAGTTCAAGCCCCACGGATACCTACTTGCAAAGGCACAGGTATAGCCACATTCAGACGCGCACATTGAGGCTGTTGGAGATCCTGGTCCCTGGAACGCTCAAGCAAAAGCTTGAGAGCCAACTGTCAGAGATGTTAGGAGGGGGAACCCAATAATGCGACGGGTGGTCTCCACAACTGACTGTCTCATAACTAGGATCCGATTCTCCAGAGTTCCTGCGGGGAAATCCAGGATGGGAAACCCAACTTTAGGAGCCGCGAGTCGGGGGTTCTCAGCCCGACCCCCAGCAGAGGGCGCCCAGGCCCGCGCGGCCACCTCTCCACCACCCTCTCCGGGTCTGGCCGGCCTCCTGCGCGCCCTCTGCTGGCCACAGTGGGCACCGCCGCGTGCCCACCTCCCTCTGGCCACCACACGGGCAGAAACCTGCCCATCTCTGTTCTCCGGCCACACCTGCCTGGTGAAGCAGGAGGGAACCCAGACGTCCGACCCTCCGGCAGTCCTGTCTCTAACTCCTCCTATCCCTCTTGTCTGTGCAGCAGGGTCCAGCTCCTCTCCACACCTCGGAAGTATGGATGGATCAGAGCCCCAGGTTTCCTGCAGGATCTCTACAAGAAAAGGTCCAGATTCCTGCTCAGGCCACTTCCATCCTTTAGGGTCTGGCCTCCTGTTTCATCAGGTTGCCTCCTTGCCTCCCTAACAAATCTCCAAACTGTTTTTCCACGTCTGTGCACATACTTTTCCATCTTCACTCAGCAAATTCCTACTCATTCCTTAGGGCCCAGTTCAAATGTCCCTTCTCTGAGACATTTTTTCTCTGACCTCCCTCTCCCCCAAGGCAAGATACTTCTGTTCTCTCATGGACTTTATACACAACTTTTTAATGGCATGTATCCTGGGGCATCATCTATTTACAGGTTTGTTTTCCCCTTACAAGTACTTGAGCTCCTTTAGTGCAAGATCTGGTTCTTATTTGTGCACACACTGGTGGTTCAATTAAGGTCCGCTCAGTGAATGACCGACTGGTGCCTCAGACCCAGACGTGGAGAATTGGCATCTCCTTTCTGCCCCTGGGCCTGGAACATGGCAGATACCCCTACCTGTTTAAAGATTGACTGGATAAGCCAGTCTCTCCCTTCCTCGCTACTGAGGTGGGCTTCCTCCCTTCACAAGACCAGGAGATCAGCTGGCCCTTCTTTCTCCCTGTTACCTGCTCTCCTCCCTATGGGCAAGAGGGTGCTCCTGACCCTCTGAGGTCGGGAGAGTCAAAATAAGTCCTATGCAGAGCTTTATTTCTCAAGAGCTCAGCTATGGATCATAGGGGAGCTTTATCCCTCCCCCTACCACAGAGTACTGGAGAGACCCCACTTATTCTTGGACCCCATTCCAAGTCATCCCACCTCCCACCCCAGAATTCTCTCGTCCTTGCTTGTCTAGCCTGGGGCTAGGGGGCAAAATCATAAATTTGGGAGACAAGAGGCGAGATAAAGATCATTTGTTGAAAATGGGGTCATCAATCATTTGCTGGAGAAAACACATCCAAGAATTCCCCAAACCTAGGTACTCAGCTACCCCCTCATGTTCCCCATTATGCCATCCCCTCCCCACTAAAAAAGTATCCCCCACCCCTGTACCTCCCTGGTCAGTTCTTTTCAGGGCTTATGGTCACCTGGTCAGTTGGTTTCAGCCCTTCCCATCTGCATTCTTAGAAAGCCCTCGGGCTCTCTCCTCTTCTACCTTGGGAAGGACGAAGGATGAAATCCCATCCCCCGCCCCTCCGTACCCACATTAATGATCACATTTCTTTCTGAAAGAGCCTGGAGGGGAGATTCCCAAACTCCTAGTTGCAGAGTTTCAGGCTGAGGATGAACAGATAAATAATGGCTTGCCAAATTAATTAATTATTTTATTAGCCTGAGTAATTATTAATCAGGTCATTAATCACCCAGCTGTGCACTATGAATAGTAATTGCGTGGGGGGCGAGCAGCAGTGGAGCAGGTTATGGCTCTAAGGTCTGGCTGTGTCTGGACCTTCTGGTCCTAGAAAGGTTTGGGAAGGTATCCTGGCCCCACCTTCCTACAGTCTCACACCCAGATTAGGAACAGAATAGGGTCTCCATGGATCCCTTTGCAAAGACAGGCACCAACGATATCCTTCCAACTTCTAGAGTTCAGATAGGCGCAGGACATGGAGGCAGGGATGTGCACACAGAGGTGTAAGGGAAATGAAGAAAACTTGCACTTGGGAGTGGGTGTGTGGACAGGTGACGACAGGGTGGGACATGGTGGAGAGACAGCAACAGAGGCAAGGCCTTCACATGCCGGCTGTCCCCACAGTCTGTCTCACGGTCAGTTTATCTATGAGGGTGATGCTGGGATTGACTCGAAGTTTTGCCTTTGAACTAGATGCTTTGGGATGGTGCAGATGCCACCAGAGATGAGGAGAAATGGGGGAGGTAGAGAGACAAGGAGGGAGGAAGGGCAAGGTGAGACAGAGTCAGAAGAGAGGAGGGAGGGGAGAGGCAGAAGGATGGAAATGACTCTGTCTTTGGATTTGAAACCCGCCGGCTCCAGTAATCCTTATTTTTTTCTTGTTGGGGAATCTGATGATTTCTTCTGAGCCTTCTTTTCCACACAATCCACCCTACTAAGGGCCTTCTCTCTCCTGAGGTTTGGAGTGGGCCCCAGCTTCTGAGTCTTTCCCTTTGGCGATTTCCTGGGACTCTCTGTCCACTGCCCTGTGGGGTTGGAGGGAGGGGAGATATGAGGATAAAAAGAGAAGGTGAAGTGGTAGCAGATTACAATTGCCCCCCACATGAGGAAGTCATTCTGTGAGTCTCACCTCCATCCCTCTTGGTGTTTAGAGATCCCATCAACTCACATCCTGTGTGGTGCCCCTTCAGATAGCCATAAGCCCTTGTCCCTCATGCTGTCCCTTTCCTCAGGCCTCCTTCTCCCTGGTCAGGGGGCTCCCAGGTTGCCTTCCCTTCACTGCTCACTTGGGGAGGTGTCAGTGATCATGTTTTTAACTACCCCATATCCCTCCCTTACAGCCCATTTCACTTTCTGTTTATGGTGAATTTCACTCTTTAGTTGCAGTAGGTCCTGCTTTATGACCTGCTTGGGGTCATTTTCTCTCCCATGCACTGCGTGTTTATGCCTCCTCTTGGAGCCCTCTTTGCAGGCCCTTCCCTAAGACCCCACTCTGAGAGGATGCAGGGGCGTGGAGGGCCTAGGCCTGAGAACCTGTGCCCTGCAGCTCAAGGAGACACTGGCCTGAGTCCGGGCTCCAGGGGCTGGTGGCTCTGACTCCTGGCTGGGGAGGCTGAATGTAGGGATGCCCACCAAGGAAGAGGAAGCAGCTGGAGGTGGCCATGGGGTCCTGAGAAAGGCCTTCAGGAGAAGAGGCCCCTCACAGGTCCAGCCCCCACCTGTTTGGGGCTCCAGCTGCTGTGAGTATATGGACCCCCACTCCTCAGGCCTGGTCCCTGGCGGGCCTGTCCGCTAGGCTTCCCTGGTCAATGTATCCTCTCAGCAGAGCTCTGGGGGCAGGGCAGGGGGTCAGGCGCAGGGGCAGCTTCTGACAAGACAGAGCCTGTAGTGAGATAAACACAAACACAGGGCCTGGAACCCAGCCTCCTGTTTGGAATTTGTGATGGCTGGGGTGGTGCTGTGGGGAGGCGCAGTTGGCAGGAAAGGAATGAGAGTGGGGAAGGTGGATGGACTGGAAGGTCTGGGGTGCAGAAAGAGGGGGATGCAGCCCACACTCCTTGACATTGTTCAAGGAATTCTTGCTGATGACTGTGAGGGAAGCTCTAGCATCCAAAGTCCCCTGAAGTAGACCTACTCAGGAAACCATTCAGTGATGGGCATGGGTGGGTGAGCAGAGGAAGGGGTGATCTGGGGATCCCTGGTACCCCAGGGGTCAGCAGGGAATGCAGCCCAGTCTCACACACGCATAGGTACACATTCTTCCTGTTGTCTGCCTGCAGCAACTCCCTCTGTGATTGGGGGAGCAGGGAGGGAGGGAGGGAGGATGAGGAGGCCAGGTTCCTCGCTCTTCCAGGCAATCCTCCCTGGGAGTTGTTCATCTTCAGCCAAGTTCTGAGCGTTATCTGGAAGACACTCCAGGGAACCAGCTCCAGCTCTGCTAGAGTCTTTATCTTGCCTGCAGACAGACCCAATTAACCTCTCCCCATCCTCGGAGTGTGTGGGGCATCCTCCTCCTGTCCTAGCGGCCCCCCCTTCCTGTGCCTCTGGGGGCATCACACATCCCTCCTCCTCCATGTCCTCCCCTGTCCCCAGTCATTGTCAGGCTGCGACATCGCTGGGAAGAAGGTGTATGATAGCTCCTCTTGCTCCCTTCCCCTGAACTATGTCTCCCTGCATCACCAAGAAGCCTTTTCTCAAGGACTTCCCCTATCTTTCCTCTTCCGTTCAGTTTCATCTGCCTGAACTTTTCCTTAGAACACAGTCCTTCTAGTCCTTAACTCTGACTCCAAAACCCTTGGTCCTTCTCTGGATTCCATAGAGCTTTCCCACGCACTTTGATCCCTGGAGCACCTGTCTCCCTGGGCCCCCTCTCCTTCCCAAGCCTCAGGTTTCTAAGCAGCAGAGGGGAGAGGAATGCAGTTCTTTCTATTGCCAGCAGAGGGAAACACACACAAGCCCAGGCAGAAGGGTGTAGAGGCGCAGGGTTCTGGGGTGGGGTTCTGGCTGTGAGAGGTGGGACA